GTGAGCATGCAGTCAGCTGGGTAAGAATGTACTAGTTTTGCCAATTACTTCTCATAACCTACAGTCATTACCTCAGCAGACTTGGAGAGGTCAGTAATATGAAGATTGAAATATCAGAGAAGGGTGGGATGAAAAGATGAAAGAACCAACTGTTGGGTCAACCTGAGGAATACTAGACAGTTCCACATATGGAAAAGAGATGGATTGAGGGCACTTCATAGATGGAGGGAGTACTGGAGACAACGTTTGGAAGTTGCAAGATTAGAAAGTTTTGAGGCAGGAGGTACGAAGAGTGCAGCTGCAGAGGCTGGAAAGGACAGGGCTCAGTATAAAAAGCAAGATTGCTGTGATTTTTGGCTAGAAAGGGGAAAAGAAGACATTGGAAAGAGCATGAATAAGATGAACCATTTAGATTGGAAAAGTTGAGTGATGAAGGATTGTGATAAACTTCAGGGAGGTGAGCAAGATATTTGGGAGAGATGTTAGAGGACAACGCGAGAGAATTTGCAAGAGTGAGAAGGGTGGGATAAGCACTAGAATTCAGATGGGGTGTGGGGCGAATCAAGGTGTAGAGTAAGCAGAAAGGAAGACTGAATCCTTTAGGTATTGGCTTGTTCATTTAGGTTGTAGTCACACACGAGACCAAAGGTAATGATGCATTCAAACCTTTACTATATTCCAGATACCCAGAACATTTGCCTGACTGTCTGTTTGAATTTTCTAAATGTGTTTTGTTTGAGCCAGAGTCCTTTCAGATGGATGCTGTAAGGTCCAAGACAGGGTTGTTCAACTTGAAGCCTATGGCGGGGGAGTTAACTTGCAGCTCTCAGGCTCCTCCCTGGCTGTTTACTGATGCTGGGGTCTCCAGCCTTCCTCTTCTTCCTCTGATTTCTGCTTCCTGCCTCTGCCCCTGATGATGGGGTGGCACTGCCCATGGGAGCTTGGTGAGTTTTGCATAAGCTGTGCAACATGTAGCCTGTGGCTGCTTGTAAGTTGGACAGCCCTGGTCTAGAGCAGTGGTTCTCACCCTTTTTTGTACCAGGACCCGTTTGTAAACATTATGGCCAGTCATGACCCACTGCCTCTCCCCCATGACCCTCTGCCTCCACCCCTGGGCCCCAGCCCCTGAGTGTGTGGGGTAGGAGGGTAGGTGTGAGGCATGGGGGGGCCCAAGCAGCCCCTTGAAGGCTGTAACTCTGCCAGCCTGCAAGGGAAAAGCCACAGTTTCCCACACTTTTCTCCTTTAAAGAAGAATCCATTTTATAAGTTTGTTGATCCATTTTTAAAGTCATTCGTGACCCTTTCATATATTCTTGTGACCCACTTTTGGATCATGACCCACAAGTTGAGAAACACTGGTCTAATGATAATGCATTTAGTGGGAAAGATGATCACTGCTACATTGTCTTTTAACTCAGTGGACAGCTAGCATTTGTGTTGTCCGAAGTGGCTCAGCTGATTTTCAAAAACTGAACTGAACTTCACATACATCCTTTTGCATATTTTAGTGTCAATTGTACCTCTTGAACAGGATTGTTAAACAAATGTTGCAAATGTGCCACTTGAGGTTTGTTGGGTCATCTCCCCAGTTTACTGGCTCAGTTTAGGCTGTCAAGGTTAAGACCTGAGGACATTCTTTGAAGATCAGATTCAGTACCTTTTTCCTTACATCCCTTTCCTGCTAAACACTACTTCAGTTGTTGTATGAATCTGGCAGGTGTCCTTCAGTTCGTAAATGCTTACTGATGTAGTGTCATAGAATACACAGTTCATTATTACGCTGGCATATTCAGTGCATCTTGGATCTCGTCTACATTCTTGACTGTTTTTAAGCATTGTGTAATAGTGTGTAAAATAAAATGGCATATGAGTTCAAAATGAAGTGGATGGTATGGCAAAGATGCAAAAAAGAGGAAATAATGTATATGGAACATTAAGAGAGGATACCTATATGGGACCATTGCTCTAGCCTAACTGAAAGCCTACTCAGGAAATAGGAAAAAAAAAGAATGCTGAGATTTGAAACTACTGTTGGTTAATAACACTATTTAGTTTACCATCTTTTCTTGGGTCTAGTGCAGCTATCTACATTTTATTATCTTTTCTGAGCCTGAAGTTTGGGCATAGCAGTATTGGGAGTGGCTTGCTACTTGTAGAAACTGCTCAGACTGATGGGGAGAAGGCTGTGATGGTGGGTATAGCCATAATGATACGTGTTCATTTCGTTTTATTGGCTGCACATAAATTTAGTCAAATGCACCCATGTTACCACCTAGGGTGGTTTCTTGAAAGAGATATTATGGTACATATTTTGCAAGCTTAAGGCATAGCACAAATCCTTCTTCCTCCTCTCCCCACATTTATAGACTCATTCTTGACTTTACTGGGATGAATGCACTGATTCAGCTGTCTTGCTATATTTTACAGCTTACCCTGTTACATATACTGCTTTCTATGAGCTGTCCTCCTGTGTTTGTCACAAGCAACCAATGCCTTTATGTGGTCACTTAAGTAAAGGCCTGTCATATTTACAGAAATTTAGTTCAAGAAAGCAGTGTTCGTATGTTTAGGAAGTAAATTTTCTTCCAATAAAAGCTGGATTAGCAGTAGGAGAAATTCAGGATACCTGTTTACATGTAAGCATTGTACTAGCAGCAGTAATCCAACCTTCTCCACAAACCTGTATTAGTGTGCTTCAACCTTGACAGGCTGAACTCACTTAAATGTTAGAGCAGTGCTGGAGCACCCTGGGGTATGCCAGATCCTTTGTAGGGTGCCTGAAGTGTGGGGAGATCAGCAGATAAGCTCAGGCTTGCCATTGCCTGAATGATTTCCCCACCCACCCATACGCTGCCCAGCCTTTCTGCAAGGTGGGAAGTCCAGTAATATGCAAATTAGTTTTTGAAATTGGTTCTACTCAATTCATAGAAGTTATGGAGGGGTGCCTCGAGTCTGAAAAGTTTGAGAATTGCTGGATTAGAGGGTCAATACAGCCTTCAACAACCTTTTGGAACAAAGGGTGCCTATATATGAGCAGACTTGATTAATCAAGTGTGCTGGAGTTTGGTAATTACCACACTGCAGCAGCCTCCAGTGTCTCATGTATCAGCGTCCCCGCACTTCAAAATGGCAACAGGGCACTTTACATAAACTGCTCTTGTTGCCATTTTGAAGCATGGGGACACTGATACACAAGACACTCTAATTAAAGCATGCCCCTCCCCCAATACGCACACACTCCCAGAGCACGTGGACAAACCCAATTTTGCATCAATTTTAAGCTATTGTTTAGTGGGGGGGGGTTTTAACGAGTGACGAAAGGCTCTGTATCATGAGTCAACCCTGTGAGCCATATTGATGCTTCAGTGCCTTTAGGCCTGATTATACTGTTTTCAAATTCTTGACTATAAAGTTTTGGTCAATATATATTATTAGTTTTTATGACACATGTATTTATGGGGTATGTGCTTGTCTGAGATGATGGCTAAACCTACTCCACTTTTCATGACTTTCTGACCTTTTTAAAATAAGATGATCTATTAGTGTTTTTTATTACCTTCTAATCTGTACAGGCGTACCTCGGAGATACTGCGGGTTTGGTTCCAGACCACCGCAATAAAGCGAATATTGCAATAAAGCGAGTCACACAAATTTTTTAGTTTCCCAGTGCATATAAAAGTTATGTTTACACTATACTGTAGTCTGTTAAGTGTGCAATAGCATTATGTCTAAAAAACAATGTACATACCTTAATTAAAAAATACTTTATTGCTAAAAAAATGCTAACCATCATCTGAGCCTTCAGCGAGTCGTAATCTTTTTGCTGGTGGAGGGTCTTGCCTCAATTTGTAAAAAACGCAATATCTGCGAAGCGCAATAAAGTGAAGTGCAATAAAACGAGGTATGCCTGTATTCTGAATTTATCTTTGGCTCATAGTTTATCAGTTTTTTTTCAGTTGCAACTTGTAGCTGGTTAAAATTGTTAAACAGGAAGATTTTTCTGCCCAGGAAACTAAAACTAGCCAGGAGAACTTGGTCTCCATCACCCTTCTTCATCTCTAGAGTAAAATGAGATAATTGAGGTGTGCTGCAGCAGATTTCCAAAGAACTCAAGTGATGCCTTCATGGTGAATTGCTCCTTCCTTTTAACATCCTTCTGACTGTTGCTTAGCGAAATAGTACATGCTGATAATGTTGGTGGGCTTTTTGTTACTAAGAAGAAATATATGAGTCATACATAGATATCTTGTTGCTTGTCTAGTTACACTGGTAGCAGTCCTGGTTCTTTAAAATCAGAGATCGGACCTAATTTCTAATTTGCAAAGACTCTATCTCCTTGAAATGTTATTTTGCATCTGACTTAATAGAGCTATGATAAATGAATTAACACAGAGATTCAGAAAATCCTTTTGCTACTTAGCTTTAGGCAGTATCAGATTTAATCGAAGTTAGTGGTATGCACAGATGATGAGAATGGCAGTTATTTATTTATTTTTTTCTAATATCCTTCTTCAAAGTGCTTTTGCATTCTCTTGCCTGACTTGACACTAACAGGGCTAACTACCTCTTTCTACAAAGAGCTTTTGTTTTGATATTTGCAACACTCCTGCTGAGATCAGTGGCTTGGGTGTCAAAGAGGTTGATGAGGAGAGCCGAAGGAATGGAGAATATGGTTGCAGTTCTTCTATGAACTTTGCATAACTTACAAGTCCCAGAAAGTGTTAGATGTTTCTTCTTCCCAGTGTCAGGGGAAGTAGTTTCTTAAAATGTCATTATTTGAAAATTGCTTGATGGGTTACGTATGAAGGGCTCTCTGTCCTTGAGTATACACTTTCCTGGAGCGGTATTACAGACAATACAGTAGGTACTCTTTTTGCAGTTTCCATCATCTAATGGTTATGTTCTTGATGGTTTCCTCTAATACATTTGCTATTTCAGAACCTGAAAGTACTCCTGAAAGTGCTCTGTGAACTCTCTTGATACTAGATTTCATCATTTGATTTTGGTAGTGTAAAGAATCATTTTTGTAATCATTATTTGGTCAAGAGTGGCTTATTCTATTTTGCGGTTTTTTTATTTCTGTATTTTAAGAAAGATAGCTCTACTGGAAATGTACTGAATGCTGGCATGATTCAGATTGCAACAGAGCCTTAGAGGTTATCTCTTCTTGCTCCCAGATAGGAAAACAGTTTTGAGACTTGGGAGGAAAGTCAAAGAATCATTGTAGTAAATTTAATTAATACTATGTATTTAGAAACAGCTATAGAGGAACCATATTTTAATAGAAAGTGACCATATTGAAGGCTGAAGTACATCTGTTTTGAAAACCATGTAGAAAACAATGGAACATATTTGTTAATGTGAATTCATGATTGATATTTTAGTATGTGCTTCATTCTTGGAGTCCTAGCTTCTTCTCTTAGCTCTCAGTCTTTGTAAAGCAAATAGTTACCCAAAAAAATGTCTTCTGGGTTGGTTGAATCAGGGCATGGAAAAGAGCAATTTCTTGTCTGTAAATATAGTTTCTTTGTCTTAGATCCACCAATCCGGTGACCCCATTAATGTAGTTGCTGCCGGAACCATGGTGTGGCATGTAGGTTGCCTTGTCTTTCTAACAGCAATAGAAGTACGTAATTGGGATTTCGTTCAAGAAAGAAGTAGATACACCAAGCTGAAGATGATTGGCTGCTCTCTTTTAACAGACAAGTCTGAGAAGGAAACCCCATTCGAATCCCCTTTCATTCTGGATTGGTGGATCTGAAGCCCAGAAACAAAGTTTCAGGTAAGAAATCACCCTGTACTATATCTTATTGCTTCTGCTTAGTTGAGTTTTTCAGAAAACTAAATATCTTGCTTTTACTACATAACCATTTGAAATATCATAGGGTGACCAAATGTTAACTATTGATGTGAGTTTAGATTAAGAAAGGGTATGTTCAAAACATAAATGTTTAACTTGTTAGCAAGTTATATTTTGCTCAGAGGTGCATATTTCAGAGAGTTAGGATCTCTAAATTTCCTATCTCTTGTGGAACTAGAAAGCAGTATCTACACATGCATGATCTTTAAGTAGCTAGCTGATGGGACTAGAGGCAGGGGAAGAACTAGACAATGCATGATTCCATTTATAACATCTTTGTGATTTGTGGCTGAGAGAGATCACAATTTGGAGATCTTATTGATGAGGGTCAGTGGCATGACACTAGTCTTCCATATGATTTCTGACTGAATTATATACTCGCTACAAGTCATAGTTAGACAATTAGTATCTTTTTATTCTAGTCCACACCAGTTTCCAGATTTGTGTTTTAACCTGTTTAAATGCAGTGTATTCAGTTCTCAGTGTGAGATTTTTAAACCTCAGTGAAACTTCATTAACTGAACATTGTATAGGGTTCATTCTGTTAGTTTTTACAACTGATTCATTAGCATTTTAATGTTTGGCATTCAAGAACAAGTTCCCATGTGTAATGGCAGGCTTATTTTAAGTATGTACAGGCTACTTTTGCTTAATTGTACATGTCAGGTGACTAAAAATATTTGTGTCTCTGGGAAATTTTAAAATGCTGTTGAAAGGCTGACTTGTTTAGAACTGGCTTTTTAAAAATAGCTCTGGAAGGTATTTTTATGTACTCTTTAATAGGGCTGTGCGGAGCATCGGTCACTGATTTGATTCAGTGGAGATTTGGCCTGATTCGATGTTCGAGTCTTCAAATCCGAATCGAATCAGGAGACTCTTTAATCTCTCTGAATTGATTTGGAGAGGTTTGATGATTCTGACATAGATGCAGCTTTAAATGTTTTTTCTACATATATCAAGGTACCAGGCAGCTCGTGAATGCTGAGATACTGAGGTGGATGGAACATCTCATGGGGGTCCCCAGCTCATTCAGTGGTGGACCCAGAAGTGGACCAGAAGCACTTCCAGTCCACTTCTGGGTCTGCTGCGGAGTGCGTGGGGGACCCTCCCACATCCCTGGGCTCGGTGACTGGTGCCTCCTGGGTTTGGGGGGCACCTGGGGTCTCCCCGTGTCCAATCGCCAAGCTAGGGCGGTGCGGGGGTCCCCCGCATGCTTGGTGGTGAACCCGGAAGTACTTCCGGTCCACTTCTGGGTCCACTGCCGAGCACGCGGGGGCCCCCCATGCTCCTGTGGGTTTCTCCATCCTGTCTAGCATCTTAGCATTCGCAAGCCACGCTGGTACTTCAAGGTATGTAGAAAAAATATTTAAAGCTGTGTCTGGCCGAATCGCTGATTCTCTGAATTAGCATCGAATCTTCAGAATTGGATTCGGCCAGATCGAATCAGGACAGTGATCCAAATCAACAAATCAAATCACTCTCCCCCGATTTGAGCCGAATTTGAATCCAAATTGAATATGGCCCATTTCACATACCCCTACTATTTACACCAGGGGTGGGCAAAATGTTGCCCGCAGGCCGGATATCGTCTGCCAGGCCATTCTATCTGGCCTGCGGGGCCCCTCAAATATTTAGAAAATTAATATTTATCTGTCCCTGGCTGCCTGTCATGCAGCCCTCAATGGCTTGCCAAAACTCAGTAAGCGGCTCTCTGCCCAAAATAATTGCCCGCCCCGGTTTACACATATTCCCAACACTGTAGTTTCTTCTTTTAATGTGCAGCAGATTCACAGGTCAATCTCCTTTTGATATTAATAGAAGCAACACTAAACTTCTTGGTGTGCGGAAGACAGTATGCTCCTATGAGTGACCTAGCTAGTTTTTTAGCTTCCTTCTATTTTCAATATTAGTCTCAATATTGACACGTGCATTAATTTAATTAGCTACCTTTCTACTTTTAATACTTCTGGATGATCTCTGTCTGTGCTCTTTTGAAGAGAATTATTAAAGTCAATTCTTAAGAAGGTGCTATTGCATAATGTTAGTTTTATTCACATACACTTTCTTTGGTCTGTAGTCTTGTGTGTGTAGGTTCAAAATTCTGTTTGGGTTTACCAGAGTAAAACATAAGTGGGTTATTTCCTCAAGGGTACCTTTAGCTTTTTAGCATCATTTTATTTTGACTTGGTTCTTTTCTGGTTAGCAGAAGGGAGTCCTTCATATGTTTCTCACTATCTTCATCCTCTAAACTATGGAGAAGTGAAACATTTATTTTGCCTTTGATTTAAGGCACGTATGTTACAATTTTTCTTATATTCAACAGATTTGAAACGGATGTTTCATGTACCCTGAAGACTTTACCTGATGGATTTACATTAGGAAATGTAGACTACTTGTCGAATATTTGGTGTTCAATGTGATTTTTATCCTTAAAAAGGATATTTCTTGAAAGATGAGAGAATTTTAGTGGGAAAACTAAATATTTCTTGTTGCTATATGCACACTGTTAAAAATGGGTTTTAATGCCTAATTGCCAATTGAAAACAAATTAATCAATTTGTAGGTTTTTTAAATGATTTGTATGTTTTTTTTATTGTTATTTTTGAAAGACTAAAAGGGACTGATCCTGTTGAAGGCAACATGCTATTTGTGTGTGTAAAACTAGCGTGTGTATAAGTATTGAGATGTTTAGAGTCTAAATTTTGTGCAGCATTTAAAACTTAAATTTTATTTAATAATAATAATAAAAAAGCTTTTAAAGCTACATGTAAGAGAATTACAGTTGACATATAAACATTGTTCATTGTTTGCAACCCAAACACTACAGTGCTAAGAACATGTATTGAAACTGTATATCTTAACATGTAAAGTTGAGACTTTATGGCTGTGTCCAGATGAATGTGGCTATGCAGTCTGAACACAGCCTGGACAGTCTATGCGTGTCTGTCGTGCCACATACTTCATGTTTAGCTGTTCTCCATGCTACAAGAGAGCAGCACAGAGGGTTTCTTTGACCCCTCCACGGGTCAAAAAAATTTGCAGAGAAAAAAAGCAAAGCAGTATATGCATGTGCTGCTCAAAAGCAGAGTTGGGCTGCCTGGAGCCGTGCTGTGGCTGCGGGCCAGGCTCCGCATGGCAGAATCGTTGTTGCCGCAGCCCCGGGAGGCTCCCAGGACCCCAGGTAAGGCAGGGTCCTGGGAGCCCTATTCCATCCGGGGTAATTTGCTGTGCACCAGAGGTCATGTGGCATGCACATTCCCTGGGGAGACCTAGTGGTGACACAAGGTATGCCATTGCTAGTTGTTTCTGTAAAGCCAAACATCCACACCGCTTGTGGATGTGGACTGTGGGCGCAGACAGAAGTGCAGCTCCCAGTTGTGACTTGGAAGGATTTTTGCAAAGTATTCCTAGTTACAACTTTACACCAAGCCAAACAGAATCAGTCTTGGTTCCAGGGGGGAGGGGAGTGGCTGGGAGCCTGTAGTCAGGTTCCCATAGAAGTGGCCAGGCTGTCTGCCAGTGCTTGCTGTTTTTAGAATGAGGGAGGAAAAGCAGCTGAGGGAGCTCATTCTTGGGGCTCCCTAGTTGGTGCTGAAGGGTGGGGTGTGTGAATTGGAGCCCTCCCACCTCAGGGGAGGGGGAGGGAGGGAAAGCTGCAGTAATCTGCTCCACCCTGGGGGGGGGGGGTTTGAAACCCCCCAGACTGAACTCCCTCTCCTCTCTTTCCCCCCTCCTATTCTAAAAACAGGGACAGGCTGGGAGCTGGACAGACACAAGTTACAAAAGACTCTACATTTTGTAAGATTTGTATTTCATACTTCATGCATTTGTTTAACCTGTTTGCAGCTGTGTACTTGTTTGGTCACAGCTATAAACTGCTTTCTGTGGCCAGATCAGGCAAAAATTGTCACTTTTTTCTGCACCTCCTATGGTAAGGCAGGCAAGTTTAAGTATATATGCTTTGTTTACCTTGGACAAATAGAGCATGCCAGCACATGTTGGTTGGCTAGCACATTTTAAGTACCTTTTACCTTATAGCTTGAAATACATCTGAGCAATCTGTATCATGACTTACTTCCTAGACAGGCTTCAGCAATGTTTACTCAGCTCCTGTGCTGTACACATGTACTTTGTCACACTGCAATCCCAACTTTAGTTTTCCTTTCCATATTTCATGTGTTTTCTTAGATCTGGTACAGTATGGGGCACCTCTTGTGTTACTTCTGACAGCAAGAAGAAAGGATTTTTGCTGGTCTTTCAAAATGTACCATTTGTATGTAACAACCATTTTGCTAGTTTAGACAGGAACACAGTGGATTTTTTTTTTAGTTACGGGGTGACAAGGGAGGTATGTGTAAAAGGGATGCTAGATTTATTATAGATGTTCTTTGTATTAGAAAACACTGCTTGATGTCAGTTGACCATGCTTAGAGTGATGTGCATGGGATTGTGTTTTTTCTGAATTTTCTTGGATCGTTATGAAAACAAGATATTGCATTTTATGAGTCTTATCCTGCTAAACAAATTACAGTGGAGTAAGATTGTTATTACGCTTAAGAAAAATCATTTAAATATTGTCTCTGCTGAACCCAAAGTCCTTTTGTGGTATTTATTTTGCTTTAGCAAATTCATGTATTGATCTTCAAGGAGCAAAATGGGACTGCATTATCAGTCACCCTCCCATTAATTTATATTGTCCTACAAAGAACTACTGTTTGGTTATGTGGAGAGCTATTGTAATCTGATTACTTTCCATTTATGTCTTGCTTTGAACTTACTGATGTTTCATGCAAGATTCTTCCCAAAATTTAAATAGATGGTCTGTGGGAGGCGGTATCACTGAGATAACTTGTTTTTGAATGCCCATCATCCAGCTTAACTAGACTGTTACTCAATGAAAGAGAATCAAAGATTGGTTTCACAATCTCTCTCTCTCATTTTTTTTTTACAAAAAGATGATGAAAAATGGTAAGAACTTTCACAAATAAGTCTTTAAGATGAGTTTGTGGATTATAATTGTATGTTTACCTTGACTTCTGAGAAACTCAGTTTTAAAGTGTTTTAATCTCATGTGCTAAAATTACAAAGTAAATTGAGATTTTTGCACAATGACAACTTGGCCATGAATAAAATGAGAAAGTAGCCCTTTCTAAATGAAGCAGAATTTCTGTTTCACAACAGTGTGTTTCAGAGATGTTATAAACACAATATTCAGACTAACCAGACACTGAAAATTGGATACGGCATTCCATTGGAAACTGTCAAGTTTTAGTTTTCAGTTGATTTTTCTTTTTGACTACACAAACATAACAGCAATTCCACAGCAAAGAACTTGGAAAAATCACAACAGGTCAGAATGTTTTTAACATTTTGGGTTTCTATTTGAAATTTCTCATTCTGTCTTGTGAATCTTTTTTGCACACCCAACAGTGCCAATATTGCAGTATCCTGTAACACCCTTGAAAGGATCTCAGAGTGGTGTAGCTGTAGGGCCCCGGTTGAGAACTGCTGGTATAGAGCAGGGGTCAGCAACCCCCGGCACATGTGCTGAGCATGGCACATGAGGCCATTTTTCTTGGCATGCGTTGTGGCTGGGGCGGGGGGTGGGGGGGGGCAGCAGCTGTTTGCAGCTGGCCCCAACTCTGGGTAGCTGCTGCCAGCCGAGAGCCCAGACTGCTCCCAGCAGGCAGCTGGGATGCATTAAGCCCTGATGGGAGCAGCCGGGGCTCAGTGGCTCAGTAGCAACCCAGAGCCAGGGCCAGCTGCAGCCAGGAGGCTACAAACAGCTCCTGCTTCCCCGGCCGGGGCCCCAATGCATGCCAAGGAAAACTGCCAACGCAGTGCTGGCACCTGTTGCTTTTCTAGAGCCTGGGGCTGGGAGAGAG